ATGTGTGTGTGTGTGTGTGTGTATGTGTGTGTGTGTGTGTATGTGTGTATGCGTGTGTGTGTGTGTGTGAGATTGATTACCATTTCCGTGCCTAATATTTGTCAGAACAAGGATGAGCTATGATTTACCATAAAATATAATTATCAGATCATGAATATTACGTAATTAAAAAAAAAATTGAAAGGTATATATCTACGACATTTTTGCAAGTGATATGTTATGTGAGTTTCCTAGAGTGTACAAGGAGTATATTGCCAACTTCACCGCCATATACCTCATCAATATTAGCTCTAATTTTGGGGAGACTTATTACACACACCAAATTAAAACATTTTTTTATAAAAATCTAAATATATGGAGTACTGGAGGAAATGCGTTGATTAATGTCTTAACGGTTAGTTTAAGTCCTACCAGTTCCTTCCACCGCACTGACCTGTACCCCAACACCAGCCCTACGTTGTGATCCCTGTCTCTGGCATACATATCATTTTTTCCATAGAGTTACCAGTTTTCTATAAATGGTATTGCAATGTTTTAGTGTGTCCAGCCAGCAATTAACATCAATTGCTCTGGACATCCATTTATTTCCAAGCCCTCGCCTGACAAAAAGCAAAAATTTCCCCCCCTATTCCATTATTCTATCACTGACCTTTATCTACTAACCGGGTCCTCATTCATGTCTAACTCATTGTCTCCAGCCTGGACATAAATGGAATTTGTTCCTATTACCTTCCCGTGTTGCCAATGTCAAACAATATCTGCACCCCCAAGCCCTGGAAAAAACACCCTCTTCGCCTTTCCCTTCTCTCACAAAAAAACCCCCTTAAAGGACAGAAGTACCTGAAAAAAAAAGGTTTTTTAAAGGTTTTTTTTTATAAATATTTGAAGTTCTGTGGTCACATGTGCCTGCGGACGGGGTTTTTGAAGCCCCTTTTTCCCTAGCTCTTTCGATTACACTCTTTTTGGTAACAAAGAGCAAAAATTGCGGGTTCCACAGGAGTCTTTCCAGCCCTTTTCCTTAGATCTGCTTTTTTCCATCCTTTCCAGCTATCTTTTCATTCTTTGGGTCCGAACGTGGGGGCTGTTTCTCACGCCGTTGTTTGGGGGAAAATGTTTCCTCACACCTTTTAGCCCCCATTCTTTCTTCTACTCCGTCTCATTCAAACTTTAGTAAAGTCTTTTTTGATAGGGAAGGGAAATCATCATCATAATTCAGTTAACTAAGAACGGAGAGACACCATAAAAAAACTTCGCGCAATTAGATCCCTCACCGTGACAACCCCCTTTTATCACGGGGAATTAGTCTAAAAACGATCTCAATGAATTTAAATTATGAGGCCCAAAAAAAAGTGAATAGATTTGAGGGGGGTTACGAACTTCGGGGATTTGGAAAAAATAATGTAGGTCTGAAAAGGGGGGCAGATGCGTTCTTTTGTGGCACGTATAAAGTCCTATTATTGAGATCATCAGAATATAAAAAAGACTTGAGATCATGGTAGGCAGAAATCTGGAAAAGACACAGGGCCTGAGTGGCGATTAAAGCTTGAGGCCGTAACTGTGAGGAGACACATAAAGAATAAAAAGGGGAAAGGGTTGTCATAAAAGGTTGTATGAATATTTTACTGAGGATATGAAATGGGGGGTGTTTTAGCCCAAGTTTAACACTGAAATATATTGCTGAAAAATTTTAAGATTAGGGTAAAGAGGTTTGTAGCTTTTGAGATTTAAAAAAGGCTATGACAGGGTGGATAGGGGGTCAATTGACAGATGTTAAAATGTATGGAATAGGAGTTTTTTACTAGGATAGTGAGGCTTAGGTTAGGTATGTACGAAGAGGGAATTTTTTCCCCAGTAAAAGTAGGCCTTAGACAAGGAGTGTGATGTCCCATTGTTGTTCAATATATTTATAGGGAAGGAGTTGTAAGAGAAGTAAATGCGGGGGTGGCAAAAGGTGGGGGGTTAAAAATAAGAAACAAACACAAAGTGGGGGGTTGTCACAGCTGCTCTTTTCTGTGCCTGTGCTTTTGGGGGATCGAAGAGAGTTGCAGAGGTTGGTGGATAATTTTTTGGGAAGGTATGTGAAATAAAAAATTACAAGTAAATAGGAAAGGTAAGGGATGGAATATCAAAAGAAAATTAACGAAAAAATTGGATATCAGATATTTGGAGGCACCCTGTTAGCAGATGGGTCTATGAAAAATGAGGTGAACATGAATTTCTCGAGGGGGAAAAAATAGATTGGGGCACTGAGGAGTCTGTGGAGACAAAGAATTTTGTCCTTGGAAGCGAGGGGGAATGTATGATATAGTTTGCCAACGCCCTTTTATGGGGGAGAAACTAGTGGTGAAAGTTTTCAACAATAAAAAAGGCGGAGGCAGTAATGTCGTCTGGGCAATATATGGGGAGAATAAATACAGGAAAATTTGTTTTAGTAAAATTTGGACAGGGTAGGTTTAACCAAAAACTATTTTCCGAGGGGTAGGGAAAGGTTAGAAATGGTTTAACAGTAGAGAGGCTGGAAAAAACAAAATGACTTGGGATATAAAATCGTAGAGCAGGGGAAAGAGGGTTTTCGGTCGACCTAGAAAGGTTGGAGGGAAATGATTAAAGGAGGTTTTTTTTGTGCGAGGGGCTTTGACTTCCAGCAGCATGTGTTAGGTGTTAGATAAAACCCAAAGGAGACAAATGGGGTTTTTTGGTCTTTACGTTCTTTTGGAGTGGTGCAAAGGGAAATTTAGGAAGGTATTCAGTGAAAACCCGGAAAAGGGCGAACTGAGTATGGGATGGGAAGTACAATGTCTGCCTTTAAATGAGGGGGTTTTGGTATTTTTGGGAGTTTAAGGGACATCCCAAATGTCGTTCTGAGCGAAGGAAGTACCAGTTTTCAAAATAAAAGTCGAGTGAACAGTTTCCCGGGAGATAAATAAAACTAAAATCTAGGCTCATTTTAAAGAGAGTTAAATAAATTGCTAGTGAGAAGGGGGGGTTGATAACCCTAGGTTTTTATTTTAACAACCCCGGCCTCCTCCCACTGATCGGGGGTTTACAAAAAGAAAAAGGGAAAAACACTTTCACATTCATTCTTCCTTGAGGGACAGGGCCTGACCTTTCCCCCTCCGGACCAGGTCGTATAATTGGTTTCCCCGAATTCCTCATATGTTAAATTTTTACACACTAAATTGCACGTAAAGTTAAAAAATTCATTTCCCAATCTTTTCTATAGCATGCCACAAATACTAGCGGATATCTGAGTCCCCAACCCCACCCAAAAAAACCTTTTTACCCGCTCCCTCCAATTTTTCCTAGGCAACCCTTGAATGCCCTTTTTCCACTCCAAGTCTAATATTTTTTTCCCCTCCATAAATCTCAAACCAGTTAAAAAAACCACTGGGAAATCTTGAATAACCGCCCTCCCCAAAACTCCAAACTACGAATTCCTGCTAATATTTCACCACACATTGCCTCAGAAAAAAATCCCACTGCCTCCAGCCCTCCTTGTACAAATTCAAAAAAAAAGTTCCACCCTAAAAAAGATTTAACACTATTTCTAAAATTTTTCCTTTTTGCTTTGGCAAACGGCTTTTCTCCGCCCATTTCTCAGTGTACCCCTCACCTTTCATCTCGCGTCAATTCATTTTCAGCGAACCCGCACTCTAGCACAAACCAAGGGTCTTTTTCCACTTCGGTATGGAGAAAAATCTCAGACAATCGAAGAACAAGGCGGCACGGCATATGAAGTGGTCCTGGCCATGTTGGGGATTCCCGGCAAATGACGTTGCAGGCAAGGTTACTAAAACTGCCCCCTACGGCAAGCAGCGAGGGCACCGCCCATCAACCTTCGTGAACAAAGCACCATGAGCCAAGGAGAAACCCGCCCTCAAGGTCTCGCCGATTCAATGATTTGGCAAAAACCGGGAAAATCTCCTCCCAGGCTTATGCAGATTAAAAGATATGTGGCCATCCCCCTAAAATCGACTTGGAATCATAACTAGCGTTATCATCGAACAACGAAAAAGGGGCCATGACATGCTGCGTGCAGATGGGTTTGGGTTTCCCCTTTGGGCCCCAAACGCTTTACTGCCGCAAGAAAACCCCCTAAAGCAACTTTCCCCCTCTCCAATAAACGTCAGAAGACCCCGGGGAATAGGGGGCCCCACTTGCATACTTGCAGTCAAAAATGAGAAATTGTTGACGACATCCCCCTGCCACCATAGCCTCGATGAAAAGTGACACCCCCCCCATTAAGCCACCGGCCTCCCCCAAATGGGAAAACCAATAGGAAAAATTTTTGACCAAATAAAAAAACGGAAAAATCTTTGTCAAAGAAAACTGGCCCCATGGCCCAACCCCATCCTTTCCCACGTTTTTCAAAACAAAAAATTTTTCAAAAGAGCTGTTAAAACTCTTAGCTTTCCAATAAGTTGGAACCAACCTGAAAAAGCTTAATAAAGCTAGGGATCCTTTAACCTTGTCAACCCCGTTAAAAAAAAAAAAAAAAAAAAAAAAAAAAAAAAAAAAAAAAAAAAGACCCGGGAAGGACCCATCCTGGCAAACTTACTTAAACACGGATATTCCATGGATAAAGTTCATTGTCTCCACAGGGACAATCCCATTGTTTTGTCGATTATATCTCTGAAACTTCATAATCATCTTCTTTAAATATGTATTACCTATTAGCAAATTTCGTTACGTAATTCGAGGGGCCCCTTTGTAATTTTCTGCGGCACTTCATACTTATCTACTTCGCGTCAAAAAAAGTCTGTACCATTTTTAAATATAAGTCGTCCACAGTTTCATTCCTCATTTCTTTCTGAACACTCGCCCTAAGTTGCATAAACACTGTCTACAACACACTTTTCACTTTTAAACGTAGTAATTATTCATAATTTTCCAGCTGAATAATAACCTACAAGAATATGAATTTACATAATTATCTCAAGAACTTTAACTCTCTGTAACAATTATATATTTCAAACTCCCATTACAGTACTATAACATAC